TATTGTTATACTGTATATTAAAAAAATACTAAAACTAAAAAAAAAAAGTGTAGTGGTGGCCATGACAATAGGAGACAAAGTTAAACTCACAAACTTTAGTAGAGTAGATGTACCAGACGCCTTCACAGATCACGTCTCAGTTTTTCTGTATCTTTTTGTCCCATTTCATAAAATATGGTCTCTTCTGCCCTTTTCTGTTACACCAGCGCCCTCTCGTGGCAAAACATAACAACTTCAACAACAGCGCAACACAATTGACCAGTTTTAAATGATAAAATATGACAAATGAGCTCCAACAAGCCTGGCTCTTCTCCTGAGACTGCTGGTTTATTTATTTGTCTTTTTTACTTCTAATATTTTGGTTTATGTCTCCAGGTTTCTTTATTTGTGTAATAAGTTTAGTTAATTCTTGACGTCGGCCTGTCTGATTTTGCTGTGACCTCATTGATCCTGTTGGGGTCTTTGTTGAAGCTCACAGCTAACCAGTGAAGGAACATGCATGAAAGAGTTGGTCATTGTTTTACACCCTTCCTGACACAAGCTGGGCTTGACTTCACAGCCTCAAGATTACAGGACACCAGCACTGACCACCAAAGCACAGTCCCAGCACGGCCGATGCATATTTTCTATTGGCATCAATTCAAGAGTCATAGGACAAGCTTCAAAGGTCTTAGTGGACTGACTGCATATCACAAAGCAACACCCCAGATCACACATTACAATATTTTTCAAATTGTCTAAATAAGACAACAGTATATTAAAACCACTTTACAAATGTTTCCTCAAAGAAAAAAATGCTAAGCCTATAATTCTAAGAGAATCCATTACTTTGCTGTGCATTTTTTTTAATTACACTTTTGTGAGTATCTACTGGAAATGGTTATCCTGGATGTTATTGAGAAAATGTTCCAGTTAAACGAGCATTAAAGAAAAGAGTGTTGACTTCACTGCGCAAAGCAGAAGCTAAGTCATCGATCAGGAGATGTGCTTGTACGACATGGAAAACCTCTGTCGTACACACCTATACCTGAAAGTGTCAGACATTTGGAGGACATGGAA